GATGGAATTGGTTTCTTCAGAGTGCCGGGTTTGATGCTATGGTTTGGTGCTAGGAGAAAAACAATGTTGATAACGCTGATGTTTGTAGTTGCTGCTCTATAGTTTGTAGAGCCAAGGGCGTCTGCACAAAGGGCCCAAGTAGCAGGGAGGGAAGAGAATCGGACTGAAAGTGGCCAAAAGGACATTCCATACTGATATATACTCCATAGATACATACTGATATACATTCCATAGTGATATCACATGGCAGGAGATTTGTAGGGGGTGGGAGTTCATCTTGCTCTCTTCCGCTGCTCAGGGGCCAGCTGGGCATTGGCTGGAGGATAGTGAGCAATTGCTTGTGTGTCACTTGTATGCATTCATATGTATATATTTATTTGTCATAATTATTATTGTTTCCCTTTTCTCTACCACAACACACACTGAGTGAAGGAAGATGGTGTAAGTAGCTAAGACCTGGGGCTGGGAGGTGAGCCAGGGAGAGGAGTCCCTAAGTTCTTAGGGGTTTCAAAGGTAATCTGCTTTAGAGAGCTGATAACTGGTAAAATGCTCGAAGTCTGGCCAAGCACTGCTTTATAGGGTTGGTCCCATCAGTCTTCGGCAGCTCCAAAGCAGGCAGGCCAGCACATCACCTCGAGCACTCACCCACACAGCCTTTGCTTGCTTTTTGTTGCTGTTTCCGTCATTTTCTTCCACTGCCAAAAGTACAGATTTTTCCATGGGCCAAAAAAGACTTTAAAACAGCTACTCACAACTTACAGCATACGTATTCTGTCTCCAGTCATTTTTTTAAGATGTTATTCTCAGTAATTTTTATTTCTTTTAGAATTATTGCTCTTAATTTCTTACTGATGCTGGAAAACATCAGCTATTAAATCTCGTAAAATCTCATTTCAGCATACCTTTCTTGTCTTGAGGGTGATGGTGTGACTGGCAGCATATTTTAGTTTATCTGCATAGGGTTTGAATGCTTTCTGTGGGAGGTAATTGTAATGATAAAGAATGAAGTAGTCTAGACAGCTTTAAAATTGAGCTTAAAAATTGCCTCGTTCATCTGATGCTAAACGCTCGAGCTTTCTTACAGCAGTGCGTTCTATGGTGCGGGCGTTTGAGTGCTGTGAGGCCTTTATGAAAGCTGCACGAGTGCCAGGAGGTACAAAGCTGTATCATTAAGAGTAATGCTCCTGCACATGGAAATTATTGCCGTTTTCATCTGCACCGATCAAAGACCTTGTTGGTAGAGGCGCTATATTGAAGTGTACGTGGAAGTACCACGTGGCAGCTGGCCGTCAGCTTCCCATTCGTATGTTTGTTATTGGGAAAAGATTATGAAAGTTGGTTGTGTATCTTTTTGCAATTTTTTTTTGGTTGATGTTATGTGAAATGAGTCTCGCTTTTGCAATGTGGTGCTTCTGTTGTTCCTTCAGCATAAGAATAAATCTGGCTAGCAAGAGCTATGTAGGATTTCAGTGGCCGTTAAAAGGCAGGGCGAATCCACCCTTGGCCTCCCTTGGCTGTATTCATTGTTTTCTACTAAGAGGAACAGCTTCACGTGCTTTTTGCATTTGTCTGAAGGTTCATTTGGGAGTTGGCTTCTGCTTTTAAGGTTGTTGCAGCTGCAGGCCTGGTTGATAAGCTCACTGATGGGGGCATTTGTTGCCATGCTTCGGCAGTACTGTGGGTTCTGCTGCTGACTGACAACAACTGGAGTGAATGCCTTGAAGTTCAGTGATGCCTGTTGTACTAGTGATGTCAGGAAAGCTTTATCTGTTATTGAGCAGTAGGTGAAAATGGTGCTGCATGTCATAAATTGGTGCTTAGTGCACAGTAATATGGATTTGTGCTGCTTAACCTTTGCTTGCAATGTTTTATCACTGCTGTACATTTGACATTTCTTCCAGGAGTCAAGGGCTTGAGTCCTCTTGTTTGCGTAGCACAGTTTGCACACAGGTTTTGACCTCTAGAATGCTGCCCAGCAAACAGGCCGGTAACTGAGAGCAGGAGCTTGGGTCTGAATCTTTGCTGAGTGGGTTGGATGTCTGACAGGAAAGCTTTGCCTTAAAAAAAGGGAGCCTACAAACAGAAGGGGAATCAACTCTTTGAAAGGGGAGATAACTGCAGGACAAGGGGAGATGGTTTGAAGTTGAGGGAGGGAAGATTGAGGTTGGATGTCAGGGGAAATTCTTTACAGAGAGAGTGGTGAGGTGCTGGAACAGCTGCCCAGAGAGGCTGTGGATGCCCCGTCCATCCCTGGAGGTGTTCAAGGCCAGGCTGGATGGGCAGTGTAGTGTGGCATTAGATGTGGAGGTTGGCATCCATGCCTGTGGCAGCGGGTTGAAGCTTGATGATCCTTGAGGTCCCTTCCAACCCGGGCCATTTTATGAATCTATGCATTAACAGTGGGGTGAAAAGTGAAACACTGGGCACACAGCGCTGCTCTGTTTTGTCTGGGGAAATGAGCAGCATGACAAAAGCGCTGCTGCTTTCAGTCTTTCATGCTAACAAAGTCATACATTTATTACCTCCCTTTAAAACACACAAGTGAAAAATGATGTTCTTTTTTAAAAAACTCTGAATGGAAAGAGATATTGAGCTCTTCAGTGTCACAGAAGCTTTTAGCCATGTGTGTAGCTTACAGACTTGTTTCCCTTTTGTAAGGCATTGCTTCAGCTCATTCTCATTGCTGTGATGTTTGTTGCAAGGTTGATCTGGGGAAATCTGTAATTTCTTATTCCTTTGCTGCTAAAGGAGGTAATGGGGGGCTCAAGTGAAACTTCAACTGCAGTCTCTTAAAAGCTTTGCTTTATTGTGTAAAGAAGAGAGGTTCAAACAGGAGATAAGACAGGGGACACCACTCAGCAGTAGCTGCCCTGTGGTGCAGCACATTGTTTCTGTTCACAGGATTTGGGGGAATTAGTGGTGTTTATTTGTAACAGACCCAGTTCCTACTGTTGTGGAAAAAACGTAAGCAGAGCAGAGGTTCTGACAGCCTTCCAAAATAAAGTTTAAAATAAGTGAAATCTGTCCTGCATTATTGCTAGCAACTTCATGAAACAGGAGACAACTAATGAGCTTGAGCTTGCATTACTAAATGCTCTGCCTTCCGTGCTGTCTTGTCTGTTATCTGCCCATCTGGCAGCTCCCGCGCTTGTTGGCAGAACTGCTTTTATTTCCTTTCCTGAAGAATTCTGGCATCAGATGTATAAACTACCAGCGCTTCTTTCTTCATTTATAATTGAGTGTGAAATTCTGAATGCTCCCAGCTAATTACTCTTCATCTGCTGAGCTCTCAGAGCAGCAGTGAGCTGTGCCGTGTGCCTGGCACTGCTGGGGCTGAGCACCCAGTGCATGGCCGTTTGGGGCAGGTGGGGGCTGCTCCCCCAGGAGCCAACCAGCAGCTGTGCACTGCCCCATTTTGCAAAAGTGAAGGTATTATCAGCTCCTGGTGTGGCTGGGGAGTACTTGCTGTAAGCTGTGAACTGGTTGAGTCATCTGGGTGCTGCTCGTGGTGTAGCAGAAGCTGTGTATTTATGGCGTGCTGCTCACGGAGACCCACGGTGACTATTGCTGTTACAACTTTTTCTTTGGTGTGCATATGCAGTCTTTTCCTCTTGCCACTTTTTGATTTCCAACGACCACTTTTTTTTAGGAGACTACTTCTGAAATGATAGCACGAATAGTTGTTGTTCAGGGTTGGTGTTGGCTCTGGTAGGGTACACTGAACCTCAGGTGCTCTGGTTCTGTGCTTTGGGCAGTAGAGGGAAGTGGACCCATTCTTTGCCTGGAACTTTGGTGTGCTGCTGACATGTGCCAGCTGAGTGAGCGGCGTGCAGCTGGAGCAGCAGCTGGCCTGTGGGGGGCATTGGGATGGGGCAGCAGAGGCTGTGGTGGTCTCCTGCTCCAGCTGCCACCCAGTGGGGGAAAAGTGGTTTTCTCACCCAGAAAGAGAGTTAGAAGTGGAGTTCAGTAAGCTCGGACAGGTTGTGTGCAGGAGGCAGTGCAGGGCTATGGAGCAGCTGCTGTTTGTGTAGGCTGTTTTTATCCCTTATCTCTCTATTTCCTCCAGCTTGTTCTGCAAATCACTTTGATCCCTCCCATCCTCTCCTCCAAATCCTGTGCAATCACAGAATGCTCCCCCCCTGCATCCCATGCCGTCTTCCATTAGGTTGGGATGATGCATCCCAGAGGTGCCCCCAGGGATGGATGTCACGCTTGTCCTTCTGAGCCCAAAGTTCATGTTCTCCATCCTGCTTTGGGCTTCTGCTCCACTGGGCTCATGGGGACACACCAGCTTGTCTTGTGGGCAGCATCAGTACTGAAATAGCCACACTTATCTGTGGCTTTTTACCTCTGTGTAGTTGACATCTATTTTAATACTGTTTCTTTTGTTGGTGGTGGTTTTTGGTCTGTCTGTGTTTTATTTGTTTATTTGTAGGCTATCAAACCTTCTTGTGAAAGCAGTATCTGATTTTAAAATCCGTCCTTGTTTGGAATTCAGTTTGCAAACAAAAGTCTAATTTGTCATCCAGAAAATAAATAAGCTTTGTCAGATAATATGTTTGTCTTGTTACTCATCCTTTTGATGTCTTTCTGATGTTATAGTTTGCCCCCACCCTGAAAGCCACACTTTCCTATTTGGATTTTGGTCTCCAAATTGTGAAAGAAACTACTTGCTCTAATATTTGGAACATGCTTTACTATGGGAAATTAAATGTTATGGTTGTGTGGTCATAAAGGATACGGCTGTGGCAATGGTAATCAGGCAGTGGGTGATTGCTCTGTGTGGGGATGCTGGCAGCAGGCTGTTGGTCAGTGGGTAATAGGAGGGATGGGGTTTTCTTTTACAATCTGTCTTCAGGGATGGATAAAGTGAAATGCCTTGGGTAAGTCCTGACTTATTGAAGAGTATAATGCTTCTGCAAGGAGGTTTGCTTTTACTTCTCACTATGTCTCGTGGTTGGAGTTGCTGATTATCTCCAATTGTTTTTCTTCTTTTGTAGTAAAACGATTAAGAGAACCAAAGCATGAAAGACGTCCTTGGAGGATATGGTACGTGGCTGCAGGTTCAGTCCTTCAGTGTGGCTTCTTGGGTGTTTTATGTGTTGAGAGAATGATTGTTTGCATATGATACTAATTAAAAAAAAAAAAAAAAAAAACCAAAACACATGATGACAAGAATGTGATGAACAAAACAATTACTAAAATACGTTGGTCAATGAAATGTATTCTTTTGGGTATTTCCCTTCCAGATATGCTTCCAGATATCACCACAAAGATACCTTCAGACATACAGCTTTAAGTTGCACCTTCTCCTGAAGTTAGAATCTAGAACTGCCCTAAGATCAAAGAGTGGCTTAGATTGGAAGGGGCCCTACAGATCATCGAGCTCGCCCCTGCCATGGGCTGGCTGCCCCCCAGCTCAGGCTGCCCAGGGCCCCTCCGTGGCCTGGGGCACCTCCAGCAATGGCACCCACAGCTCTGGGCAGCACTGCCAGCACTCTGAGTAAAGAATTTTGTCCTCGCATCTCACATCAGTCTTCCCTCCTTTGGCTTAAAGCCATTCCCCCTTGTTCTGTCACTATAAACTGTAATAAGTTGATTCCCTTCCTGCTTAAAAGTTCCCTTCAAGTACTGGCAGACTGCAATGGAGACACATCTTAACATTTACAAACTTGCACAAGCTCTTAACTTCAACAAAGCTTCATATTCCATACCCTGTTTTTGTAAGATAGAAAACATGATGATGAAAGATAATACCTTATGAAATCATAGAACAACATATAGCATAAAAACATGTTTTTATTACTGTTAAAATACTGTTTTCTTGTAGTGATGCCAGCATTACCCACACTTGTTTTGAGACAGATGAAAAGTTATGCTGCTGTTCCAGGTTTTGGAACCTACAGAAGTGTTAGCTTTGGGCGTGTTTCCAATGGCTGAAATTCATCTGAAAGAACGCTGCTGTTCGTAATTAATCCTGATGTTTATTTTATGGAAAAAGTAAATACCAATTCTTTGTTTACAGCCTGCCTCAGTCTGCAGTTCAGTCTGGCTGCTTTCAATTTTTAAGCCAATAATCTAGTTGTGGGACTTGAGTGTCGTTATTTATCATATGCTGTAGTGATTAGATAAGTGATGTGCTGGCCTCCTGCCTCATCCCAGCCCTGTGCTGCACCGTGTATTTGGGAGAGTAAAGTTTTAATACCAAATTGGCAGACAAATTCGGGCATGAAATGTTGTTTGGGTCTGTTTGGTTGGGTGGTTTGGTTGGTTGGCTGGTTTTAAGACATAAAAACAACAGGCCAGGTGAGTGTTGAGCTGTATAAAGAGCACACTCTTGTCTATAGAATACTTGTGATGTGATTCCAGTATTTAAAAATAATATTGGGAAGTTGTAATAATAACAATAAATAGATAATAAAAGAATGATAAGGGACCAAAATCAATATTGAATCTGTACCTAAGTGTTTTTTAATGTTTTCCCAGTGAGTAGTAAACTATTTTCTTTCCATCTTTGTCTTCTGCTGTGGAGGTAGTGGTTTCAAGGCTATTGCTCCTGTTCAAATGAGCTTTAGCTGAAATTCATTGAGGCTTCTTCATGCTTTCAGGTGAAAAATACCCACGAAGGCATCTTAGCAAAATGCACCAGATAAAGAAGTTAGCTATTAAATTGTCCACCTACAAGAATGTGATGACAATTTTCCCTCTGTCCCTCCCAAAAACTTGCCAAATACACAAAACTGTAAAGGAGCTGAAATGTTTTGTGAGCCTGGGATACTCGTTGTGTACAGAAGGTTATTAAAGATTGAGCCAGGTTTAGTGAAGATTAGCTTGTGGATGATGCATGTGATACCAGGAGGAGCTCCACAGTCTTCAAATAAGGCCTCAAGTTGGTATGATTTGATTTACTGTCAGCAAGGTTCAAGGAAGAATATTCCAAAGGGTTGAACTTAAAGTGGAACATTGCTAAGTAAGTTAATTACCTTGGCTTTTCACCTTTTAGTGTTGTTATTTTATGAAAAATGAATAATTGGGTTGAAATTTCAATATAAATTTGCTGTGTCCTACTGTGTTGTAAACAGTTGTATGTTTCTTAATAGCTGTTTTCTTATTCTATGCAGGTTTTTAGATACTTCCAAGCAAGCCATAGGGATGTTGTTCATCCATTTTGCAAACGTCTACTTATCAGACCTTACTGAAGAAGACCCTTGTTCACTGTGAGTGCTTCATTTTTGAACCATTGATGAATATGAAGGGTGCTGCTGTTGAGTTTGCTATACTTGGAGACTAATGCAATTTTCATGCAAGAAGTCAGGCACTTTCAAAGACCTTTGTTTGAAGCTTAGTTAATTTAGGATCCAAAATTTGCTCTGTTACAGGCAGTCAGGACCTAGGAAAGTGGTTTGGTTTTTTGGTTGTTTTTGTTGTTGTTGCTTGCTTGCTTGCTTTGGGGTTTTTTTCTGGTCTGTGCATGGATGCTTTAGACTGAGGATGAACTGTTGCTCCTCCTCCTCCAGTTTCTTAATGAGGACTTAGGGTGCACATTGTAGTACGAGGCTGTTTGCTGAAGGAGATAAAAGGTACCAAGGACCAGAGGACATGAAGTTGTGTATGCTCAACTCCAGCTTCACCATTCTCTGCAGCAAGGTGTTAATATAAAGTACAGGGATAATAATCAAAAATCTTTCACACCTGTATGTCCTTCAAAAGCCTACATCATCTACTGCAATATAATTGTCACTGTTAAAAGCAGGAAGTCTTGCTTGATACCCAGGCAGTTAGTACAGAAACGAATATTGCAGTCTCACACTAGGAGCAGTGTGACTAAATAGATAAGCATTTCACTGTGCTGTATTCAACTTGAAGAGGCTGTGACTAAGACCCTGTCAGGCTCGTCACAGGAGCTACTGAAGCAAATGGTAATTGTTTGGGTTTGTTCTTGATGAGGCACATGCTCAAAGAAGCCTACGCATTTCTGCTAATAGAAGCAGGGGAATTACTTGTCACAGCCTACTCCTTTGCCCCTTGGAACCAAAGGCAGTTATTTTGATGATGGCAGCTGCTCACTGTTGCCCTTCGGTAACCAAAGAAGTTAAGTGACTCAAGGAATATGTTTGTGGTGTTTCATAAGCCTAAAGATTTCTCTTTATTTCTCCTTAGCTTATTCTGTTTCTACGTGCAATAAATCTGCTGGTAAAATACTGTCTTTCTCCTCCCACCACAGCATTTTGGTAGGGAAAATGCATTGTTGTAACACACTAACTGCAGAGGTTAAGATATAATCATGAGAGTTTCAGTAATACCAGGCATCACTGTTGGATTTCTCTTCCTTACTAACTTAATTTCCCCATGATCTATACAAGTGATTTATAAAAGGTGCAAATTGCTTTTGTTCCATTTTCATGTATGTATTTAAGTAAGCTAATGAAAACGTGTCTAGAATCATCAGTGTTTAAAGATAAGCTAGTACTTCAGTAAAGCATCTTAAAATCTAAGAACTCTGAGGCTGCTGAGGTTCCAAAACAAAAGGTCTTTGGCGTGTGTCTGTATAGTCTACATAACTTCACCTTCAAATCCCACTGTTCACACAAACGTATCGTGGCACACAGCAGCCAGGAGGAGGGGAAGCAGAAGTGTCATTCAGCATCCTCAGGATAATTGCGTGGAGCTGTGCAGTGTTTTAGGCGAGGACCCAGGACTTATCATCAGAAAGACAGTGTGCTACGTCAGCCAGAGCCACTCTTCCTTTCTTGGGCAGAAATACACCTTAAGTGTATGAATGGGTGCAAATAGCTGAGTAGAGGCAGCACTTCTGCCTGTGAGTTCAAATAACAGTAATTTAACTCGGCAAACTTCACCACGGATAGTTTTCTGTTGTGTAGTTTGTGGGTTATTTTCAGAACAAAACCAGAAAATGTTGTTTTAGAGGACACTGTGATTCAGAGCTTGGAATGAATTAGGACTGGAAGCAAGTGTTTGTCAGCTTGGTATTGCAGTGCTCTAACTCAGGCAGGGTGAGATGAAAGCTGACAAAGCACCTGTTAAACAACCTCTGGACAGGTGCCTTGTGGCTGGAAGGACTCTCAACAAACAAAGCAAGCAACAATGTCCCTCAGCACTGGGTGCTGCTGCTGGGCTGGGAGCACATCTGGCCTGCAGCACAGCAGTGGGATGGCAGCAGGCAGAGCTGGGCCTTCTGCTGCAGGCTTAGAGCAGCCCCTGGTGGCCCTGACCGACTTGTGGATCCCTGCAGTTGCTGTGCTTCATTTGCTAAATGCTCAGTGTGGATTTTAGTTTGTCAGATACAAAAGTTCATTCAAACTACGATTTGACGTGCAACTGTTGGAAAATAATTGTTTTTTAGAAGCTTACAGTTGCATGTTGGCTGAAGCAGGGCATGTCTAATTTTTTTTGCTCTTGAGTGGCTGCTTGAATAGGATTTTTGAGGGTCAGAACCGCTCCTCCTGTACTGCTTTGAATGCACGTGTTCTGCATTTGCTTTCCTCTTACTAATGTTGTTTTGTCCACGTGCACTTGACTCTGCCATCAGCAGAAGCCCAAAGCTCTGATCTGTTATTTTTATCACTGCAGATAAGAACCTATGGACTCTAGAGTTTACTTTAGCATTGGGAACTGCCAAATAAGCATCTCAGTTACAGGGATTCACTGTGTGGCTTGCAGCAGGGATGACCTTCGCCGTCTCTTTCTCAGTTGCTGTTTTGTTCAGCCAGAGTGGAGCAGTAGTAAACAAACCACACGGGTTCATGAGGCACTCAGAAGTCCATTGAATGGGCCTAAGAATTAATTTGAAACCCGTAGCAATCTCTGCAGTTTTTTAAAGTGTAGGTAAGATTGCAGAAGTTCCTCCTGAAGCAGTTGATAGTGCACCAGTCTTGTGTCCAGTGCCCTTAGTTGTTCTGTGGGAAGGTTTGTTCTGGATTCAATTTCAGATGTCCTTTAAATAAGGTCTAAAGTGCTAAGGTAGATTATTTCCACTGAACCCCTCAATAATTTGAAGTGTGGCTTTGATAGTGGCTGCAGGCATTGCATGCACACACAAACCTGCACCCAACGTTGGCAGGAATGTAAGTTGAAGCTAAAGCCTAAGGTCTGAAACAGAATATTGATACTCTGATAAAACTATTTAAGTGTCATGCTAGGTAATTACAGAAGTGGGTAAAAATTAATTGAAGTGTTCCAGCTTCTCAATAAATATACAGATTTATCAGGTGCAGATATAAAATATACTGAATTTCTGGAAAACGGACCCGTGCTTCTTGCTTAATCTTTGTTTTTCTTTTCAGGTACCTTATCAACTTCTTGTTAGATGCCACATTAGGAATGCTGTTAATCTATGCAGGTATACGTGCAGTCAGCACCATTGTGGAATGGCAGCAGTGGGAGTCCCTGCGCTTTGGTGAATATGGTAAATGTTTCTCTTTTTGCACTGGAACACTTTCCAAAACAGAATTCCAGGATGTTTCAGCTAACAGTTAGCTGATCTTTAAGCTGTAGCACAGCTGTCATAATAGCTTTTGTAATATTTCACTTGTCACTTACATTCTTGCAAGTTCTGTAACTTGGCATGCAAAGCCTTTAACAAGTTATAGAATGATGGAATCAGAGAATGGCCTGGATTAAAAAGGAGCACAGTGCTCATCCAGTTCCAACCCCCTGCTGTGTGCAGGTCGCCAACCAGCAGCCCAGGCTGCCCAGAGCCACATCCAGCCTGGCCTTGAATGCCTGCAGGGATGGGGCATCCACAGCCTCCTTGGGCAGCCTGTTCCAGTGCCTCACCACCTCTGGGTGAAAAACTTCCTCCTCATATCCAATCTAAACCTCCCCTGTCTCAGTTTAAACCATTCCCCCTTGTCCTATCACCATCCACTATTTAATGAGTCTCTAAGTGCTAGTGACTTTGGAACAACTGCTTGGATTTCTGTTTTTACTTGCAGTACTGTTTTACTTAGCATTGGCTAATCCCACAGAAAACAGCAGCAAGATAACTGTACTATGAAATGTTTTTAAATAACTGGTAGCCAGAATTATCATTTCCCATAAGAATTTTCACTGCACCAGATGCCATTGCATAAAGATCAGATTCAGCATCCTGCCAGCATTCTTCAAACGAGCACATATTTTTGTGAGGAGAATGTGCTTGTCCTCATGTAGGGTTTACTTGAACTCCTGCACACAGGGCTTGATGAAAAATGCCCAAGTCTTTCTTACTGGCTAAAGGGCAGAGTAGTGAAATTATTTTCATGTGAAGCTGTGGGTTTTGTCTTCTGATAGTCACAGCAGTCTGCTGACCTGCAGAAGCTGGGGCTGTGCAGGTGCAGAAAAACTTCATGGAGATGTTCTTGTCATCAGCATTCAATTCTGTTCAATCTGAACTTTTCAGATTGTTTAGGCTGGCTGCCTGGGGATGGAAGTTTTCCTAAGAAAGTATTCAAAGTGGATAACAATAAAAAGTAAATAAGGACTGTGTTCAAGTACTGTAATAAGTTGGGATTTTTTTTTTTTTAATTATATCAAATAACGTTAATTGCTATTTGCTTTTAAAGTTAGAAATTCAGAATAGATGTATGCCCAGCTTATGAGAAATTGTACCACGATGTGTAGTGGTTATCGTAGAGTGAATGTGCATCTCTTAGGCTGCAGCTTATGACCGTTTAAGCTGTTTAAATCTGCACTGCCACAACTCTGTTTATTTTTTTCTTTTTCCCCATGTACCACTGTCTAAGTGTTTCCACTCTTTTCCTTGGACTGATGCTCATCTGACTCTTCTGGTAGCTTAGGCCCAGAACTAAAGCATCTGGGAATTCACTGTGTGTACAAAAGGAACTAGTTTCTGCAGACAAGTCCTCAGACTGGAGTTTCTATATTTCTTGTGCTGAGGTTGGCTGGGACTGCCATATATATATATATATAACTGCTATATTTCTTGTGCTGAGGTTGGCTTTGTTAGATCTGCTACCTGAAAATGGCAATGAAGGATCTTCATTGCCATTTTCAGGTAGCAGATCTAACAAAGTGTAAGTGGTGTAGGAAGTTCAGTAATTCCTTTGTAATTAGCTTTTCTTTCCGGTGTCAGATCTCTTTCTTAGTGACATTCCCTGTTGTATGCTCATTAGTATGCTGTTCCTGGCCTTAGCCTGTGTTGTTTGTTTTTTATTAAACAGGCTGTGATAAGGACTGATAAAAAGTGTACTGTATATCTTTGTTTTCATTAGTTGTATGGGAAATGCTTCTAGTATAAAGAGAACTGGGTTACAGATGGAAAGCTACTGGTGGTGACTGGGCAGGAAGGTTAGGCCTTATGCAAGAAGTCAGGAACTGTCTAAAAAGGGTAAGCTGTTTTCTTCTGTTAAGCACTGCTGTCATTTCTGAAACCAAATCCCACGTGTTACCATTTCGTTTAAAACTTTTCGCCTTGGCTCTGGGAAAACTCTTCTTTTTCATAAGATTCTTCAAAACGAATAAATGAGGTGTTGTGACGACAGGAGACCGAACTGCAGTCACGTTTGGAGGTAAATATGGATGTGTAGCATCCATGAACGGTGAGGTGTCTGCTCACTGAGGTGTGTTTGGGATTTATGATGTTTTATCTGAAGTACCAAAGAAGGTCTGCTTGAAGACGAGCGTGTTTTCAGTTGGTTTGCAGGCATGGAAAACCAAAGCCCACAAATGAGCAAGTCTCTTCTTTTGACTGAGTGATGTTGTTTGTGTTTTTAGAGCCTAAATAATCGTTTGTCTCAAGCTCGTTCTCACTGTGAGCTCATTTCCCATCTTAGCTCTATTACTTGATCCCTGGTGATTCATTACTTGAGAAGCTGTCATAAAAATAGCTGTTGTCTTGCTGGTTTTAAAAGCCACTCTTTATATGGAGGGTAGTTTTTAAGCATAAATGTCTCAGGAAGAGAATGGATACCAAGGTGCCAACATGGGTGCTGTTTGTACAGCGTGCTCATTTATGAACCTACTAGCATGGGGCTCCATCAAGGGCTTTGTTGTCAGAATTTTTGCATCTATTAGATCTGTTTTCATATTTCCAGCTTTGTATTTTCAGATTCATTACATCAGCAGCTGGATTGTAATAGAAGCGTGGAATCAGTTAATATATTTGAGTATGTAAAGAGGAGAAAAGCAGCTGTGACCTGTACCAAAAAGAATGTTTCCTGCATTCCCCCTCCCTTCTTGCACTAGGTCGAATTAGCTGCGAGGAGTAGAAAACAGGTGACCAAATTCCCCTGGCTGACAGCGAGCTCTGTTGGCAAATAGATGGCTGCGGTCTCTGCTTCTCACATGGAGAAGCTCAGAAGTTGTTTCTGCTGCATCTTTTCCCCCAAGCCCTTTGCTTATGACTTGCAGAGCAACTTAACACATTTTAGCCTACCTACAGGGTAGATAGATGCTTACTATAAAGCTTTTAAATGTCGTTTTGGAGAGATTCTTCAAGTTGGCGCTTCTATAAGAAAGTGTCTCAGGACGTGGCTATAGTTGTCATTGCTGAGACTTCCAATTTTTTCAGTTTCAGTCTTTCAATCTTAATGATCTTCAATGTGCTTTTTTTTTTTTTTTTTTTTTTTTTGGTAACAGGATTTCTGCTGATTAGCAAATGTTCTAAATATGCAAGTTCTACTCAGCAGGTATAAAATCAGAATTTGAGAGGCTGTCAGAAACTTTGGAAATGAAATTAGGGCTTTATGGCTTCAACATCAGCTTTAAACTTCTAATTTCATAGAGTCAGAAAAACTTTTGAGTTGGAAAGGACCTTTGAAGGTCATCAAGTCCAACTCTCCTGCAATGAACGGTGGTGCTTAACAGAAGACACTGTCAGAGTACGGTTGGCTTTCTGGGCTGTGAGGGCACACTGCTGGCTTATGTCAAGCTGCCATCCACCAGTACCCTCAAGTCTTTTTTGGCATCTATCTTTACGTCCTGCAGCTTGTACTGATAGTGGAGTCATGACCCACTGCAAGGCCTTATACTTGAATTTTTTTGAACCTCACGATGCTCACCTGGGCTCCCTGCTCGAGCCTGCCTGGGTCTGTCTGCATGGCATCCCATCCCTCAGGTGTGCTGACTGCACAGCAAAGCTTGGTGTCATCTGCAAACCTGCTGAGTGTGTGCTTGGTCCCACTGCCAGCGTCACTGATGAAGACATTAAAGAGCTGCGGTCCCAGCACAAACCTGGTCAAGCAGGACCTGCCCGTGGTGAAGCCGTGCTGGTTGTCCCATATTACCTCCCTCTGTTCCATGTGCCTTAGCACAGCTTCCAGGAGGATCTGCCCCATCATCTTGCCTTGCACAGAGGTGAGGCTGACAGGTCACTAGTTCCCAGGGTCATCCTTTGTACCCTTCTTAAAAATGGGTCTGACGTTGCCTGTTTTTCAGTTGCTGAGGACTTCACCTCACCACTGTGACTTTGCAAATATCATCGAGGGTGGCTTGGCAACTAAATCAGCCAATTCCCTCCGAGGTTTGAGTTTATGTACTGAATCTTTGAATGTACAAATGTCCCACATATTACTGGAACGCTTCTTGGATATGATGTTGCTACAGACTTCTTTTTCACTTGAATTACATAATTTTATAAATTATATTTTAAAATTACAGTTGGAAAGGATCTCCAGAAATAGAATTTTTCTGTATTTTACTTAGTGAAGAAAACTAGAGAATGCAAACAAAAATGTGGAGTATACAATGTCATTGTCAAATTTAACTCAGTCTTCTCATCCCCAGGAGAATGACAGTTGCTCACTTCTGACTTTGTGATGTTTCTGCCTTCAAATTTTATCACTGTTCTTCTCCCTTTACAAAAGAAGCCTTAATTGCAGGACATAGTGGTAGAACTCAAGTGTTTAACTGTTTTTGTCTTGGACTACTGAGTGTTGATCCATTACCTCTTACTGTAAAGCTTACTTAGAAAATGTCCCTTGTTTTGGACTGTGGTCTGATTTGTTTTTGTTTTTTAATCAGCAAACAGTTAAGTCTCAAGATCATCACCAAGTATTAACATTGAAAGCCTTTCAGAAATGTTCCATAAAAGGAAGTAGCAACTATCCATTATGCATTACAAATACACGAAGGCATCTGAATTTCCATTGCACATTATTCACCCCCAGGCTGACAAGATCTAAGCTGCAGTTGCAGACAGAAGGCAGTTGGGAAGCGTAAGAGGCCAACAACCTCCCCCAGCAAAGCTTCCTTTTGGCTCCCAGTGAAATGCTACCATTCCTCTCTTTTCTCTTTTCTTCTCCATGCATCCACAAAATCTGCCTGTAGTTTTCCTGCTCAGATGTTTGTGTACCATCATTTTTGTCCAGGCAGATAATAGGTTTTCACTCTGCCATGTCCTATTGGGCTGCTGCAGATACTCAAACCCTTTCAGTTTGAAATGGAAGTGTGATCCTGATGAACGTTTTATTCATTTACATTTTTGATGGTGGCATTTGCACCTGTTGCTGTAATTACCATCGGGTGATTACAAAAGCCAGCTTTGTAGAGAGGAAAGATATATTGAAGGTAGTCTATATGTGCTAAATTGGGGTGGAGTGGGACAGGGGTGGTAGGAACAGCACTTGGGAAGTAGGAGAGGGCACTCCAAAAGGGTGTAACTGTCCTTCTTCTCATACTGCTTTTCTCAAGTGTTTGCTGTGAGGTAAAACCAACCATATGTGTATATTGAACTTTTCTTCTCTCTGGCAGGTGACCCACTGCAGTGCAGTGCTTGGATGGGTCAGTGTGCTCTGTACATAATGATTATGACATTTGAGAAGACCATCATCATTATAGTGCTTCTGATACCTCAGTGGAAGGAGGTTTGTAGTTTTACTGCATCTTACAGGCAAAAAAAAATTCAGGCGCAAGCCATAAATTCTGATTTCTGATGTTCCAACATCAAGCATCATAACTGACTGCACTCAGTGCCATTTCATTCTGTAGGATAGGTATGTTCCTGTTCCTTGATTAGGTTTTCTGACATTAATTGCCAGAAATATCCTATCATAGTTTGTTTTTCTTTTATATACACTGCAATATATAAAATTTTATTCTATCTGCTTGTCTGAACACTTCTTTTCTAATTGTTTAACTTACATTTGTAGGTACTTCATTTTCCTTTCTATTGTATTTTAAATTTCCTTTGCATCACCTTCTTCATAGAAGTAAACTGCAGGCTGTTGGTAATTTGCAGTGGTTCAGGGAAGCTGGCTGCTGATGACTGGATTCATTTTGGTAGCATCTGTGTAACTTAGCACTGAGAGTGATGTGTGTGGTGCTATAGCACACTAAAACCAGTTAGTCCCTCTTATGTGGGCTAATTGGGGAACTGAGTTATCTTACCATGTGTTTTGTACAGCCCTGGTCTGTTTAAATTTCCTTAAGATAAGACTTAAAAACAAGTTCCCAAGGAACGTGCAGCTCTTAAATGGTCGAAATTATTTGAAAGCATCTCCTCAAACTTCTGTAAACAAAAATGACAGAGATAAGTTTCTTGCCAACCCCACTCACTTATCTGTGGTGATTTATAAGCTGTCCTAAATACTCTCCTTTTCTACAGAGCTATCCTTTTTATGTTCACATGAACTGTATATAGAGTTAGCTAGTACATCAGCAGTTGCACTTAGTAATGCAGTTGTGTGCCCATGCTGCCATGATCTGAATTTACTCCTTTTCTTTTCACAGGTAGCTTTATTGAATCCTATAGAGAACCCCCAGTTGGAGCTGGCTATCGTCATGTTGATAGTTCCCTTCTTTGTTAATGTCAGTATAACTTGCATGCTTCAGTGAGATGTTTACTTGCATTTTTCTCCCATCTGTTAGTTAAATATCATTAATCCTTAATTAATGTTAATCCTTAAAGCACAGTGTATCTTCTTGTGTTAATTATCTTAATTTTTTTAAAAGGAAAAGTGTTGAAGAGAGGAGAAAATGCCTGGATATGTGGATTGCACATAGCTGAAATGCACACATAACTAAGTAACCAGGCTCAGGAGAGGTATAGAAGTGCTTTGCTGACTTCTTTGGGCTGATGACATGAGTAGATTGAATGTAGAAATGGAACACATAGGGATTGTAAAATGACAATGAAATCTGCTTTAGAAAGCAGTTAGGCTAAGGATAGCTGCAGTGTGAAGTATCCTGTGTCTGACCACAGCTGTTAGTGACTGGGCAACACAGGAGTGGAGAAGTGCAAATGTGCCACCATCCTTACCAAATCCATCACCCTTCCAGCAGTCTGGGAGTCGAGACTAGAGCCAGAAATGGTGTCTTTGCATTTAATAACTGCTGGCAGCTCTTTCTCTCCTTATTTTGCTCAAGCATGGATTTTCTTTGAAATGGGAAGCTTCGTTGCACTAAAATGTCTGCCTAAAGCCACTCAGGTTTCTGCATGAGGAGTTAATGATCACTCTGAACAACAGTTGTTTTTCTTGTTCTCTGCTTCCCTGGAATAAAGTAGATGTGTTCTAGAGAATTTGTGCAGTGTATGATAAGCCATGGAGCCGAGTGCTTATGTAAAACTTAACTGTTTGGCCAATTCAGCATTATTGTTAAGTTTTCCTGATTCTGTCTACATGTTGACCGAATGAGCATATGCTACCTGAAGAGAACTGAACTGTCACTTTTCTCCTTCTCGTTACCAGGCATTTATCTTCTGGGTTGTAGATAATTTTCTTATGAAGAAAGGGAAGACAAAAGCTAAACTTGAAGAAAAAGAAGCAGGACAAGATTCAAGAAATGGAAGTAAAGTCCGCTACAGGAGAGCAGCATCACACGAAGAGTCAGAGTCAGAAGTATGTAGAGTTCATTATTGCAATTAATGCGGTATCAGTGCAATTCCTCCCTCACGCCATTGATTTCACTGTAACATCGTGGAATTGGTTTTGATGTTCTTTGCAGGCTTCCTAGTGTTGGCAGTTGAGAAGCAGATAAGAAGATGGTGCTGTTGCACCACTCATTAGCTGGTTGTTTTCCTTCTGGAGGGCAGGAAGACACAATGTGTACATAAATGTCGCAGATCACAGAATCACAGAATGGCCAGGGTTGAAGGGACCTCAAGGATCACGAATCTCCAACCCCCTGCCACAGGCAGGGCCACCAACTTCCCCATTTCATACCAGCCCAGGCTGCCCAGGGCCCCATCCAACCTGGCCTTGAACACCTCCAGGGATGGACGGGGCATCCACAGCCTCTCTGGGCAGCTGTTCCAGCACCTCACCACTCTCTGTAAAGCACTTCACCCTGACATCCAAGCTCAATCTTCCCTCCCTCAACTTCAAACCATTTCCCCTTGTCCTGCTGTTATCAACCCTTTCAAAGAGTTGATTTCCCCAGAGTCTGACTATAGTGGAGATTAATAGGTGTGTGTCCTTCTTTGAAACTTGCTTGAGGTTCCAGGTAGGATGTGTGATGTTGCTGGGTAGAACTGACTGTAAATCCAAATTGTGTTCTGGAGTAAGATGCTTTGCAGGATGAGGAAAGACTGTGACTTTGTACATTACTCAGAAACTGTGATTTGTTTGTAGATCCTCATCTCAGCAGACGATGAGATGGAGGAATCGGACGTGGAGGAGGATCTGCGTAGACTGACCAACCTGAAGCCCGTTAAGAAGAAGAAGCATCGTTTTGGTCTGCCAGTATGATGCATGCCCTGACCTGTGTCAGCGGGTTTCACGGCAAGAACTTCTCAGTCAGTGGGTTTTAATGTTGCAGTTGCTTCTCACTTTCATACAAACTGACTCCAAAGCAAGGTCTGTCAACACGATGCAGTCAGTTGGAAGACTTGCAGTTCAGTTGCACTACAGACACACTGACCAATTATGCAAGAATGTCTTTTCATCCTATGTGAAAGCAGCATTGTTAAGGAGGAGTCACTGAGGTGATTGTATCTGACATTTCAGAGAAGATAGAGAAAACAACTGCAGTAACCTTTCCTTTGTGGTTACTGAATGATGCAGTATAAGATGTTCTCTAAAAGGCATCCAAATTGAATAAGTTAGAGTGTGTTTTATTACTAAAACTGGCTTTTGCAGCATAATTCCTAGAGCAGAATAGTTTATGGCTACAAGCTGTAACTTGATGTTATTTTTTTAAGTACAAATGTTTACTTGCTACCAGGTACCTATGGAACTAATAGGTGGAACAAAGATTTTTTCCAAGATTCCTCAAATCTATTTGACTATTTTATATTTAAGTTATATTTTCATACGGTTGTATTTAAAGATTCTCTTTGTCAGAGAAAAGGGTGTTGTTCCCTTTTTTTGTGCAGAAAAGGTCAAAAGATTTGTAGTGAAAATCATTTTATCCTTGTGTCCTGGTTTCAGACAAAGGGGTTGCAAAGGGAAAAGCTCTCTGTCACTGCTGAAATCACCAAACATCAGTAAAAATGCAGTCCTCAGCGTGATTTCGACCACGTGATTTGGGAATACCTTTGTTTAATGAGAGGTGTTGTTTGCATATTTGACAAATGTGCACTTTAGCGTGTAACAGAAATCTGTCGTGGTAGGTTACTTCTTTGTGGAATGAGTATCTATGGATGAATTTATTTCCATTTCTGAAAGTCTGTTGTATGAATCTCTCATGCAATGCAAGAGGGATGGAACCTTCCTGAGGCTTTTCCTTGCATAGCACCATCCAGGGCCTTGATCTGATTGGAGGACTTGTGCTACAATATTGTGAATAATTCTGTCCCATGCTTATTTTTGTTGAAAAAGCATTGTTCTACGTCATGTGCTTAAAAAATTGGTTTCTTCTGTTTGATTTCCTGTCAGCCTGGTTATCCTTTTGTGTGTAAAAGAAGAGAGGTGTAGTACAGTCACTGCAGAACTTCTACAGTTCTCAGCATATGTCTTCTAGCAATTGACAACGTGTGCTGCTCTAAAACCCTGCAGACATTGTCAGGGACATCTTTTGCTTTGCCTACGTTCTAAATGATTGCTTCTGACAGCTTTCCTTGCTGAGCTGAACCTTGTGCAGGACAAGGCGGTGTGTCAGAGGAGTGACAGCAGAGACTAATTGCAAGTCTGTTTTAGTGTTTGGACATCAGAAGTGTTCCAAGCCTTAAACCAAACAGTTTCATCAGAAAACTGCTCAGAACTTTGTAAGATTTTTTACATTTTTTATGAATTTACTAGGTCTTAAAATGATGTATTATCCAGACCACCTCCGTGTGGTTCTCGGGCCTTAGTAAATACTGAACTGTGCACTCCCTTCCTTCTCACTGTTCCAGCTTTCCTTTTTCCTGCTCGGCTGCTGAGGTGATCACAGCTCTCTGAGACTTCAGGGAGCACCTTGGCATGACTCAAAGGGACATTGTACCAAACCTGACGTTTGCAAGTTTAGTTGAGCCACTGACCTCTGTTACTGTGCACTGAAATGTAATAACTGCAATAAGTTTAAATACTAGTGTTTCTTTTAGACTAAATCTAGAAGCTAATGACAATGGAAGCTCAATTGAGTTTTTCTGAAGTGGAGGATAGGGAAATGGGAAAACGTCCCTCATCAGGGTTGCCTCTGTTTCCGTTTTTTGTTTTGTTGTTCGTTGATTTCATTGACTCGCATCTTCTGATTGTTGTTGGTTGGGCAGGCTCATGTCTCCAGAAGCACAGTACTTCAAGGAATTCATTTGCATCAGCAGAGCAGCCTCGTACAGCTCGCTGTAATAAAGGGAGTTGGGAGATGGGGCTGGCTCTCGTCGTAGATGTGTTTATATTTTCAGCATAGGCTTTGTTCAGTTTCACATGGTGAAATAGAAGTATGTCACACGTGCTGCACACCACTGCACAGTCATTACTGTCCTCATCAACTGAGCAGCGCATACAAATTCAACTGTACAAGCTTTCATTTTATCTTCCTTTTCCCTCCTCTAATTACTTAAGTTATTGAAATGATATCTATTTCTAGTCTCATGTTTAGTCTGTGAAATGTCAGTGTGAAATTATGGCCTTAATCATGTAAAATGCTTGTTTTGAGCAGACCTCAAACTCACTGACCAAGTACAAAAGGATAATTAGCACTGCGGAGCAGTTTCTTGAGGGTGGTTTTAGCGAGGGCTACAGATGCCTAACTTTTCATGTCCTAAGTGCTTAAATGTCGCTTGGTTTGAGATTCCGATATGCCTAGCAAGAGGAAACAGTAAAGCACTATGAGCCAAAGAGACAGAAGTCAAGCATTGTAAGGCAGTAATGGAAGGAGGGGTGTGTCTTCAGAGGGAGAAAAACAGCTCTAACTTTCTCTGCTAAGACAGGGTTCTTGTTCACAACCTTGGCCGAATCCCCAAGCCTGGATTTCTGCTGGTTGTTTCACATTATCACGTGAGAAAGAAACAAAAAATGTACAACTGGCAGTTCTCCTCTTCGGGAGATGAAAGTCAGAGTTGTAGTTGTAGGTATGAGATGGCGTGCTCCTGTGCAGGGGGAGGATTTGCCCAGCGCTGCACTGCATCGTGCTGCTCATTGGCATGGACTGCAGGCCAGCTGCAGTGAGCGTTTCATCAAGAGTTGATCCAATCATCATAATATCACATGATGGCAGCACTTGTGTTTGTCCTCAGATTGGCACTCTGAGTTCACTCCTGGTAAATGCAGTTCATGATAGCTCATAGTGAAGTTCAGTTCAGGCTGTGCTTGAAAACATGTGATTGTTTAATGAAAATAAGCTGCGTACTATATGCCAAAGTAAGAAAAGGGATTGTAACTTACCGAGAAAGTGGTATTGGTGGAGATGAGATTTACCAGTGTAGGTCAGCCTGGATGTAGTAACTGTTCCTGGTTCTGACCTGCGACACATCCGCACGGATTTGTAACGCCGGTGTTGTCTACTACTTGGTTTTCAATTTCTGGCTTTAACACATTCAGGTCCCCTTATCTTACTTTCAGTAGGAGAACGCTGTATGTTCATGTTGCTCACTAAAATGTACTTTTAGCTTTTCTTCAGGGAAAACTCAGAAATTGAGTTGCAAATTAGAGCAATGCAAAGTGATCCCTGCCCGCAGGTGCCGGCTGTGGTGCCAGGGGAGCAAGGAGAGGCTCTGAGGGAGCCGAGCATCACAAGGGATCTCTGCCACTGTGCTTGACCGACCCACGTTTGCAACTTTGCTGTGCTTTTGCAGGAGAAAGCGGTAATGGAAGAGAATAAATTCAGCCACATCAAGTCAAAGTAGGTCTTACAGCATCGGGGTGCAAACTTTTTGTGTATTTAAAGTTTCCAGTTCAATTACTGAAAATAACTACTATAGTTTTACAAAGTAAAACTGCAGTATCTTTAAAAAAGGGACTCTTTTGTAGGTGTTTCTGTCTTTGCGTGAGTATCTGCCTCAAACTGAATGTTGGGTTTGTTTGTAAGTAAAGTCAGAGCAGAGCCTGCGTGAGCAAAACAGACAGCTGTATTCTGCTGCCCTCTGTCTGGACCACATTGTTAATCAGTAGTGTTACCTTAAACTTCTAAGGGTATCTTATGTAATTGCATTGTATAACAGTTTACAATAAAGTTGACTTATTACTGATTTGTACACTTGTTCTGTGCTCATTCTTTGTAAAAGTGAGCCTGTCTCAATGTTCGTAACCCTCTGTATTCACAAATGGAAGGTTAAGCCCTGTCTGTGCATCCTGAGAGGTGCAGAACGCAGACCCAAAGACCTCTGGGATGCAGAGCTTGGTTAATGTGCTTTTCCACCCAGCTCATTGTCACAGCCCACCTTCTGCTCTTTGAACAAAGTCACACCTGTTGGTCATCGGGGCACAAAAATACGTAAACTGAGAAATGTCTGGGTTTACCTCCAGCATCCTGTCCCTGCAGGGGCAGAGATGTTTGCTGAGAAGCCTTGCCGTACTGCAGAACTCCCTGGTCTTACCTGTGAGCTAAGGACTGCATGGGGACATCTGCTTCCAGAGCCCAGCAGCCTCCTGTCACCACCTCAGGAGCAACGTCATCCTGCTCCCTTGGTAGCTGCTACACAAAGCAGAGTGAGATGGGGAGGGGGAAGTAGTGCTGGTTCTCTTCTGGCTGAAGAAGGCAATGCTCCTGCAGTCTGTGCAGTGCAGGGTTGTCTGTGGTTACTGAAGGGTTCTGCAGCAAGCACGTGCGTGTCTCTACACCCAGTAAAATGAGTGTAGCCCATGCTTGCTTCACAACCACCCCTATTGCGGGGACATAATGATGCTGTCTTACTCTTCAGGTGCCTTCTTCCCCTGAGATGTTGGAGCATCTGCCATCCGTTTCCTAGAGCGCTGGGGGAGCAGGTAGTGCTAGCAAGAAGGAGAGCTGCAGCCCTGTGAAGCTGTGACATGAACCAGAAAACTTCGACACCCTTGTGCTGAAACAGCAGGAATCGTGGTACTGATGAGCTGCTGCTGCTGCTTTCACCAATTCTCTCTCAGTGGAAGCAGCTTGTTTCAGTTTGTTGGGCTGGGCCTGCACAGTGTCAATCCTTTGTTACTCCTCTCTTGTGTTTGTGCATTACTTTCATTGCTTATCGCTTACTGCACCCAGGCACCCCTGTCCCCATACTGCATCCTTACAGGGAACTCAAGGAGCCATCTTCTGCCTGGCAGCCCACCAGGGGTGTGCACGGGTTCCTGGAGGAGAAATCTAGTCTGCAGCAAGAGCTGTGACTTCTGGAGGGCCAGGTGTGCACATTCACTACACTCACTGTGGTCATCGCCCTCTTTTCACCACCTCTTAGGAAAGGAGTTTTGCATACCTTGGTTACAGAGAAAGGAGGATAAGCTGCAATAAACTGACTGGACTTTGATGCTCCTTGTATTCAGAAGTCCTCGGGACCTCGACCAGGTGAGTGAGGCTCATACTCAGAAAGGCAGCACAGGTTGGTTTAAGCTGAGCTTTCTTGTGAGGAAAAATTGGCCCCCACTCCGTAAGAAGAAATGGTTGTGATTTTGCTTCAGCTTTGGTTTAGAAAATGTGCCATTGAGTCAAAGAGAGAGGATCTGCCTGGGCTGGGACACACTGGAGAGCATCGGGCTGTGCTGCCTACACTGATGGGAACCTCAGCTTTCTCCTGGGGGAAAAACAGTACTTTGCCTGGAGCGAGTGATTTTCCTTCCCACTGTTATCATAGCGTTATTGCACAGAAACTTTTCTTCCAGTTTACTAAAATGCAGCTTCCAAACAAAAATTCAGCATAAGGAAAGGTTGGGTGTGTGACATCCATAGTGCTGCCTAACACTCCAGCCACTGCTCCACAGTTGCACAGAGGAAGGTGCATTGGGCAGAGCTGCATGGGCAGAGCTGCAGTGGCAGTCAGTGGGTGCACGGAGACGTGGGGAGGCTGGGGAGGTTTGTACTGCCGTCCTGTTCCTGGTGGGCACTGCTGGGAGGAGCGCCTGGCCTGCCTCTCCAAAGCTGGCTCCAGCCCTGGTGCTTGCTACTTGTGGGTTGTGGTCACAGAAGCCAATCTTTTGTGTGATGCAAAGAATTAATGAAAAAAAAAAAAATTACAAAAATCAAGAGACAACTCCCCTGGCCTAAAGGTCTCTTTCTTTCTATTTGGTTAAAAAATCATTTAGGAAATGAATCTGAGAAGCTTTGGAGAAGGTTTTACATTAGTCAGAGAGAAGAGCACTGAGCCCATCCCTGTGCACACCATGGGGAGCTGCTGAGCACTGCTGGAAGCAGGGAGGGGTTTTGCTCTCCAGTGTGTGAGAGCAGGTGTCAGAGCAAGCTCAGCAGCACTCCCCGTCAGGGTAAAGCTGAATCTGACCTCACAAACTGCAAAACTGAGTTTTTTTTACCCCCAAACAATCACAACCATTTCTTCCTATGGAGCGGGGTCCACTGCTTCCCATGCAAGAGAGATTCAGGGCATCGTGTTATGCTTTTGATGCTAGGTTTATATAAATTTCACAGAGAGCTTATTTCTCTGTGCAGGAAAAGAACGGCTGGCCTCCCTTCCCATCCAGAGAATTCGAAGTTTGTGTCTGTAACCAAGTCTTGCCTTTTAAAGTTCATTTAGTCAGATCCCGGCGGCCCCCTGCAGGGCAGCCCCCCTCCCACCCCAGCTGTCCGCTCCCATCACAGCCGCGCTGCGAGCCCTGCAGTCACTGCCAGGAATAACCCCGCGAGGCCTGAATCATCCGGGCACTGCTTTGGGAAGGTGACCCCACCCCTGACCTCACGCTGGATGCTCTATATAAGTCTGGGAGAACAACGTGTTTTGCACGGCGCTGCGTTTAAGCACAGCTGGGCGGCAGGGATCGGAGCCGCGGGAGCTGCAGTTATGTCGCAGGTACGGGGCACGGCTGGGAGGCTGGCAGCGGTCAGAGCTCACAGCTCACAGCACAGCTTGGCAGCGAGCAGAGCAGCTCTGGTTGTGCAGTGAACGCTGTGCTCTGCGCTGATTGTTTGCTTACGGTGAAGTGGTGAAACAGGCTCTGCTCGTAGAGCTTGCTGACTGAGTTTTATGGGGTCGTCACTGTGTGGCAAAGGAAAGCAGCTGCCTTCTGTATGCTTAATTAGTTGGCTCTTAATATATTCTGTTGTACTGCAAGCGCTCACGTTTCTGTAGGAAGGGAAAGGAATTTTCACTGCTCTGGTCTGGGATGTTGTCCTGACAGATCTCTGCTTTTCCAACACGTTTTTTCAGACAATTATCTGAAGCTTTGACAGTAGTTTGGAAGGATGTGTCTGCTCTAAGGTGTGCTGCCGTGTAAAGCAATGCCTGACTTGTGAGCGTGCAAGAAAAGAAGAGGCAGAGGACATGGGAAGGGCAGCGGGGCACAGTCCCTCAGCCACACAGAGTAGCTCAGTTCTCCCTGTTGACTTTACTGCAAAGAAAAAGTCTTGAAAGCAGTGCCCCACACCTTCCAGCACAGCACTCACAGCTTCACTGCTGCTGGCAGCGATGGGCGCAGCTCTGCACCAACAGGACTGGGGCTCAGTGCTGTGGCTCATGGCCACCTCGCTGTGCAGCACCGTCGTGCTTTTAGCTGCAGGACAGCTAACCCACAGCAACTGCTCTGGTGGAAAACCAAGCCCTGATCGCAGCACGAGAAGTTTTACTTTAAAACTGGATGGAGTTCAGCTCTCTGGTGACTTGGCGTGTCTCCAGCGCTCCTCTCCCTGTCCCAGGAAAACCTCTGGGAAGCAGCCTCACAGTTATCAGCCCTTGCTAACAGCAGGCAAAGCACCTTAGCAGGTTTCATATTGCTGTTAACAAAACGCGGTATTTCTTCCCCTTTCCGTATGGGCACCAGCACAGCTCTGTGCTCACTTCACATGGATGACCCCAACCAGTTCCTATAGCAGATGGCCGTGGAGATGGTTTTGGTTCACAGCTCACCAGCCCAAACCCGCTGTGAATTTGGAAGGATTTGCTCTCAGCTCAGTCTTTCTTTGGATACTCGCAGTGTTTTCCCCGGAGATCTCGTGGCTGTTTTGTTTCCCACGGCACGCTGTGGAGCGGCTCACTGCCAGCCCCGAGTTCTCTGGGAGCTGACAGCCAGTGGGAGCTGTGCCAGAGCCCCAGCACGGCCAGGCCCCCCGGCACCCACTGCTCCAGCAGCTTGTGCCCTGCAGTGTTCTCTCTCCACAACCCCTTTTTAGCTTTACAAGCAGTGGCACAGAAATGTTCCACTGGTCTCCACCGCTGCCAAAATCCAAATCACAGGACCTGCGTGTGGACGGGTGGTCAGAGAAGTTTCTCACTGATGCACACGCATGTTGCTGTCGGAGTGCATGCGTGTTCCATCTGTTTGATGACATGATGATGAAATGATGACATTTGCTGTGAGGGTGGTGAAACTGAGCTCCTCACACCCCAATGCGTGGTCTGCCCAGCCCTCAAACACAGTGAATGCGCTGCAGGGCGCTGAGAGCGCCGATGGGGGTCGTGTTGGGATTTAATGCACGTTGTAAGCACTGAATGTGAGGAGAGGCTGATACTCTTCTGTGTTACCCTGATTTCCTGCTAGCATGATAGACTGTAAGCAGGTTTGGGTTGTTTTGTTGTTGTTTTTTCTATCCCTTCCTGAACATCAGACAAATACTTTGATTTCCGATCTTGGTCTTCACTTGCAGAAGGACCAGGCATCTCCATAGGGTGGGCAATCAGAGGGCAAGTTCTGAACCAGAATGGTAATGGTGACCATTTGGGGAGGGGTAATGACATCCTGCCCCGATATGGAGCTGAGGATGTGTAAAACATGGAGCAGCTGTGTACGGTCTTAGAGGTGGAGTACAGAATTATGGGTGGAACACAGGATTAGCAGCTCTGCATGTGGTAGCCATTGCATCCAGGCAGCTCTGTTCCCTATGGGTCCTAAACATCAAATGCTGATGTGTGGGTGATACTTTTTTCTTATTAGCCAGAGCCAGTGAAAAAGAAGCGTCCTCCAGTGAAGGAGGAAGATCTCAAAGGAGCTAGAGGAAACCTTTCCAAAAACCAGGAAATTAAGTCCAAAACCTACCAAGTCATGAAGCAGTGTGGTGAGTCTCTTCTGTTTAATGGAAATAATGAAAAAAACCTTCCAATGTCAAGCATGAACTTAAAGCTAT